GGCGGCCTCCCTGAGGCGAAGGCCTTTTCAAGGGCGCGCCGCGTTGTCTCGCCGTGTTGGATCTTCAGCCCTGTCGCTAAGGGGTTTAAGCCCCGCGGACAAGAGAGAAATAACTGGGATGAGGGCCTGCTGTTTGCCAAGAAGCTCTTCCCGGCGTGGCGGCGCTACAACTGGTCGTGCGTCCGCTCGGTCGGCGCCCCGCTCGGAGCTTTGCTTTGGGCTTAGAAAACGCGTTGTGGCCTTGTGCGTGAGACGTGGCGTTTTCACGGTTTCCTGATGCCTGTGAGGAAGACGGAGCCGCACACAAACGCTGGGCAAAAAGGGGAGGATTGATGGTGGGTATTTCGGAAACCAGCCTTCGTGCAAGCGACGCTGCCTGCTTACAGGATTTGAAATGTGTTTTGTCAGTTTATAAAGCATCCATTGTAGAAACATCTGCGTCAGTCACTCCGCACACAGGAACAACAGTTAGAGTAATCCCAGCCCGATTGCCTGGAGTTATTAGCCGCTCTTACAAACAACCAAAGTGGGTGGAAATTTTAAGAGCTGAAGAAGAATGAGAGTCTAAACAACACTGTAGATTTTTAATCTACAAAGTTTTTTGCAACTAGTTAAATGCAGTGTCATCCCCTAATGTTTTCTGTGGCTTTGCAGATGGCTTTTCATGTGTTTCGACATGTGAGGGTGCTTTTCTCAATCTTTGCTGTGTGCAGAGCAGATGCCAACCAAGGAGGAAAGTGACTGGTTGTGGGTCTGGGCCAGAGGCTACTGAGGTTAGTGGCAGCCTTTCCGCTGACCTCGGGTGGCTTTGACTGAGGCTGTAAATACCAAGGGAAGCAGTGAAACACGTAATTTTGTATCAAAGTGCTATCATGTGCTCATAAAAATAGAAGAAAAGTACAGAAGATGTTTCCTCCCCGCCCCCTGCAAGCTCTTGGAATTATAATAATCGCAGTTGTTGCTTGGAAAGCTCGAATTCATTGGGAGCAAAAGGATACGGCTAAAAAAGTTACGGATTTAGGTGCGTGTATGTGGATTCCAGAGCTTGACTCTGCTCACTCTGTTTTTTAAATCTGCCTGTTGATTCTCAGCGTGGTAATCGGTCCGCGGGTCCACTTCGTCCCCCGCCCGTCTTGATCCCCATCCCTGGGAAATCCCTGTGGAGACCTCCGTGGCGCGTCGCCAGCTGCGATCCCAGGACCTGGCTCGCCAGCGGTGTGCTGAAGAGATGCTCAGCGTGGCTGTGGAGTTTGGAAAAGCAGCCTCCGCAGCCCGAAAGAGAACATACGAGTGGTTTTAGGGTATGCTTAGCAGTCCAGCCTTCCCCGCTGCTTCATAGCTTTTTACGTCATGCCCCAACCATGCTGAGATTGCAGAGTAAAGAGAGGGGGAGTTCATTCAGTGGGGAACGGCAGAGGAACCGAGAGAAAACTCCTTCTCCAGCCAGGCTTGACTTATAAGCAGATGCTCTGATCAGGAGCTGGCGATCGGGGGGACGTTAACGCTGGAAATTGCTTTTCAGCTGGGTGAGCCGAGCAGGCCAGAGAAGTCAAGTGAAAGAAAGCGAGCCAACGCAAAGTTAAATTAAAAAATTCCAAAGCGCTGATATCAGAGAGGCTTCCCCCTGCGACCGAGCGACTGATCAGCAGGTGAGGCAAAATCCTGATTGTTTGGCGATGGGTGAATCTTCGCTGCGTGCCCCTTGCTGGCCCGGAGACAGGACTTGCTGTCCTCAGTCTAAGCCGAACCCCAGGCACCTGTACGGCCACAAAGGGAGACGGAGCGTGCGGCTTAGCGGCTGCCCTGTTTTGCCCGTGCGTGGTACGTCCCCGAGGCTTGGGAGGCTCTGAGGCCTCACGGTCTGACAGAGGTTAGGCCGCGGACGCCGCGGGAGGGACAGGCTCCTGGCTTCAGAGGTGGTAGTTATGCTCGCGCTGTGGTAAGCGGCTCCTGCGCGACCTCCCGTTCACGCTGCTGCTGGCCAGGGAAGGGGAAAGCAAAGCGTTAAAGGGCA